CAAGGTCCCTAAGTTTTGGAAAGTGACAAAATGGTCCCCGAACTTTGGAATTTTTGCACATTTGGTTCTTTTTGCTCATTTCTCGCATAAATTCCTTCAATCATCATTCAAACTCGAGTTTTCACCTACAAAATAAAAATAACTAAATTAAGCAATAAATTGATAATAAAAACTCACAAATATCTAAATTAATGGTCCGAATAAGTGCAAAAACTCGCACTTATCACATTTCCCGAATTCGACATGATTTCGATCCGCGTCGTGCCTAGGCGACGCATTTTCGAGCGTTTTAGAACATGGAGAAATAGTACCGTGATCCATGGAAAACACAATGCACGCAAACGTAGTACACAAAAATGCGAAGAATGATGACTCCGACAGAGATAAGCAAACATGTGAAATCACAACACTAGTGTCCTATCTCTACAATTCCCATTTGTTGCATTTAATTTCAATAACTTTCCTTTTCCTCTACTCAAAATAACAAATACAAAATTTCCATATTTAGAACGCATATATGTAAATGGTGTAAAAGTTGGAAAAAGAAAAAACTGAATTTGTAGTTGTCGTCATCATCTCAAGTAGAAGATTCACATATGTGCCTCAGCTTATCTACACAATAAATAAGGTTAAATTTTTTTGTCAGTTACCTTATCTAATTTTGTTCAGTTCTGCATATGCATCAATCCAGAACTAGTTAATCTGAATAAAAACTTTCTCAGATCTATATTTTTTTTTCAAAAAATGACCAATCAAACAGAAGGATACCATTTATGATGGTCGTAAAGTAGGTTCAGAGGCCAGCATTTAATTAATCATGTTCAGACTACACTTGGCTCGATAACATTGTACCATTGAACTGGACATTGAAATTGTAGCCACTAAACTACATTTTCTTTGAAAAATTGGTACTAATTCTTGAAGTTACAGCATTAAATTGAACCCAACTAACAACCAATCAAAAATTGCGTCACATTCTTCCCCCCCACACTCGGGCACTCCTCTATATAAACACCACAATCGGCAAGGTTTTTATACACAGAAACTAAAACACTTAATTTCCATTGTGTTATATATTGGATTTTCTTCTGCAATGGCTTCTGCATTTATTAAGGCAACATGCTTTGTCCTGATCGCGGTGGCCCTAGTGGCGCCACTAGCCGATGCAGCAATCACGTGTGGCACGGTGGTGAATAGCCTGAGACCATGCCTTTCTTATGTGCAGGGTGGATCTAGTGTTCCGCCCACCTGCTGTAGCGGAATCAAGTCTCTCTACGCCGCAGCCAAAACCAAAGCCGATCGCCAGGGCGTCTGCGGGTGCCTGAAAACACTCGCCGCATCTTTTAAGGGCATCAACTATAGCAAGGCTGCTGGCCTCCCCGGAAAATGTGGTGTCAGTATCGCATACAAGATTGACCCTTCCACTGACTGCTCAAAGTAAATACATATATATCTCTCTCCTTTCTATTTTCTCCATTGCTGCTAAATTTTCTTTCAGATTTAATTTATAATGCGATTCTTGTTTTGCAGGGTTCAGTAATTTCATCAGTGGAGTAGAGAGTTTGCTACAGCAGCCCGTTTATGTACTATATGAATAAATAAAGAGAGTTTTCTTCTCTGAAGAGTGAGGGAAGACCCTGGGGTTTTCTTTGCACTGTATTTTTACATTACTATCTGTGTAATCCAATTATGAGTAAGTTTATCAGATTTTGCTATTTATTTAATTTCATATTAATCATATATCGATGCCATCGAAGAAATATAATTTCGTTGGGTAGAAATTATGCTAAAACAATACCTAACAAAGTCTGTTGAGTTATCAAACACGTCGTTGTTTGAGAATTCGCAGAAAGACTTAGACGAGACCTCGCATCTCTATGCTGAGATTCGACATATGAGGTTGTATTTTTGTGCTACTCAAACATTATTAACAAAGATGTAGAAGACACTTGGCACATTAAAAAATTGTATCATTAAACTTGAAAATGAAATTGGAATAAAGTTGTTTGTACAGATGAACAATACAAAAAATTTTATAGACGATGAGGTGACAACATTACATTGGTTGATTTAAATTTGTGTTGTGTCGAACATCCAATGAATTCTAGTCAATTGACAATATATCAAAAAATATGTCAAACATTTCTATACATGTAGCATTTCTCATGAAATTGTCCCTAAATCTGGATTGTTGTTTCGAACAATTTGTACGGATTCTTGAAGCCAGATATATCACAGCATTGAATTGAACCAAACTAACATGTAACGACAATCCCATTATCCAATCAATATACTGTGTCACATTCCTCTATGTACCAAGTTGAGAAATTTAAATACTCGATTTCCACCATGGTAAAATTAATCTTCCTAGCCATAAATATAGGCTTGATTTTATTTTTACACAAATTACATTAAAAATGATTTAAATATGAATAATTTATATTTATTGATAACAAGGCACATTGGACATATTAGATAACTAAAAAATCAATTATACTTTAAACAAGGAAAATGACGAAATGTGCACGACGCTGATTCGATGCTGAGGTGACAATCTCATGCGGTTTGGCGGTGAATAGAATGAGACCATCCCTCCCCTACGGGCAGAACCATGCCATGTGTTGTGGGGGATTATACCTCGTCGTTCTTTCAGTGGCATCAATTTTCACAAGATCAGCCTTACTCTGATTGTTAAAAATACATATACGTCGAACCATTCCATTTAAAACCTTATACTCTTAGTGTCTATTTTATTGCAATGGTGAAAAATTGGTGGAAAGAAAATGAATTTCAGAGAAAATAATTGTCTAGAACTTGTTTTCCATGGAATTGTTAATTAAATGTGTTTGATTGGTATAATTGTTCACTCGAAAAATTTTAAAATTTTGGATCGTTTTGTGTCGTTTGACTTTATTTACATGGAAATTGTTCATTAAAGTAATAATTTTTTCCACAATTGGTTATAAGGTTAATATATATATCCTAGAAAATCATTTTTCATCAAAATTTAGTATTCGTTTGACTTTGTTTTACATGAAAATTGTCTATTAAAGTGAATTTATTTTTTTTTTTTTACAATTGATTATGAAATTTGTTTTCATTGCAAAAAAAAAAAAAAGGTTGGAAAACCAAATACCAAGAAAATTATTGCCATCGAACACTACAAAACTTGGAAAATGGAAAAAGTTTTACATTTGTGTATCAAACACTACCTTAGACTATTCACAGTAGCTCACTACAAAAAATTGCCTTACTTGTCATATGTACGTCACAGTAGGATGATTGTTGTAATGAACGATTACGAATAACATTATTATTATTTATTTATTTATTTTGAAATAAAATGAAGCTCAAATGGGGCCCAATTCATTTATTTGTACACGTGGGTTTCTTTCATTTTCTAGTAACATGTCATTTATGAGACAATCACTTTTGAGCTAACAAGTACTGCGACATGTCAAATTATTAATTTCAACTCCAAATAACATTATGCTGAATAAAAAATTCATTAGTTATTTCTTTTTAATTTTATGCAATGTGTTTGACTGAAAATAGTGATCCTAATGAACACGTTATCATAAATCAAGAATGTGAGTTTATATGTCGCTAAGACAAGTTATATGTCGCTGAAGTTTGAAATTCGTCAGTGAAAGTTTTTTCGAAATCACCAAAAATTTGATGGAAAACTATTATTTTCTAATAAAAAAAAAACATTGAGATTGGACTCAAGGTCAAAATCAGATTGCATTGACAACTGCATTTGTGGTTGATATTCACTGATAATTAAAAGCGTCGGTGACAATACAATTTTTGTCATCTGTGGACAGTTCTCTGATTTGAATGCTGAAGTCGAACAAGAAGAAATTTGCCAAGTTTTTATTTTAAATAATATAGAGCATTAAAATCTAAACTTTATTATAAAGAAATATTTTTACTGTAGCCGATGAACTGGTTTCGATCCTTCTTTTAAGAAAAGGCTGAAATACATTGATCTCCTTTAAAAAATAAATCAAAAAAAGTAAATCATATTTTCGAATGTTAAAAAATGACTACACAACTCGGGAATAATTTATAAAGAAATAGAAATGAATTGTAAATAAATTAGAACTTGTGGGTTCATTAGAGTGTATGCTTGAAAATTAAGCTCTTTTTTATCCTCATTCTTTAAAAATCCATTTTTAAACATACATCTTCCAATAAAATAATTTTATTCCTAAACCCAATTTTTTAAAAAACTTTTTAACCATAAATTCTCCAAAAAATAATTATCTCAAAATCTATTTCCAAAAAAAAAAAAAGAAGGAAAAATTCTTGTTATACGTTCGTTCCAACCCTCAACTCTCTTTTCTAAATTCATCGAAATTGAATCAATCGAACGCATTTTTAAGACATGTTCCACCTTTGGAATCATAAATTTGGTCGTTCGTAAATGATATAAATTTTGTCAAAGGAAGCTAAAAAATTTGTTAGCTGACCTAAGACTAGGTATGGACAAAAAACCCAAAATGAAGCTAACATGTTTGATCAATTACTTGTGCAAGTTCAATCCATATTCAGCACAAATTCTCTCCTTTTCATTATTAAACATTGATTATGGAACTGATTGGTTCAATCTTGCTTTATAATTACATTTGGAACCGGTAACTTTATTAAAAAATATTGTCTAAACTTGACCACGGTAACCCGTGTAAAACTTTATCAAATTAAGTTAGTTATACATCATTTTTTTACGACATCTCATGTGTCGAAAATTTGGTCATTGATTAAAAAGAATGTTGTTAAAAATAATTTGTATAAAAAAATCGTCAAATGTCAAATTTGACGTAGACATTCATACATAGCAAGATTGAACTTTATCATCTGATCTAGAAACTTACTGAAACTGTGGCTAATAAATGATGGGACCAGATAAGCTAGACCTGTACTCCAATAAGGCAATCTAACCGTAGATTTAGTAGTTGTATGTCACATTCAAAAAGACACGCTTGTCGGGTGACTATTTGCTCAACAGAATTTTATTTGAATAAATCTACGTGTACATAATTCTTTATACAATCCTTTACATTTCCCTCATATGGAGGAGGGTCCACACATAATAAAATAATCGTGAGCCCCCCTCTATGTGAGGGGGTGTAAATGATTGTGCAATGCATGAAGTGTACATGTAGCATCACCCATTTTATTTTGAACCAAAAAAATGCTCATGGTCTTTGGTTAATAAAATAATAAAAAAGAAATCATATATCAAGATTATAAAGCAACCTGTAGGGAGTCCTAAAGCCACACCAATGGTAGACAAAGGCCAATTAACATTGCTGGCACTGCAGTGCCCACATGCAACAAGCCATAAAAAGGGCCTCTCCGAAGCCATGCTTCAAGAACCAATTCACTCCAAACTATCCTGGAAAGCCATACGTGAAAACAATTAAAATGATAAAATGTATTTACATTCCGCTAATATATTTGCTTCTGTTATCTACTTGGCTGCAATAAGCATTGTTTCATATCACTAGGTGAACCTTCACTACATGCTGTACACTGCCACTACATTATCGGGCTTCTACTTCAGCTTATAACAGGATCTAAAAGTCCTACAACTATTAATTTTGGGTCACTTGTGGTATTCTTCATTCTACTAAATTATATGAACATACACTGTTTCGAGCTTTGTTCCTTCACTACTCAATACTATGATCTTCAATCCCCGACCCGTGCTCTTCAAAGACAATACTTTCAAGTCGGGCAACAAGATTTTGAGTTGATGACGTTAAGACTTTGTTCTCATGTCTCAAGTTTTCCACTTCCTTTCTCAGTGTAGCATTCTGATCTTCAACCATTGAGCTACATGTGAGCTTATTATTGAGATATTCAGTCTCTTTCTTCAGATTACAGATCTCTTCCTTTAGTTCTACATTCTGCTTTTCCAGAATTCTGTTTCTTTCTTCTAAATCGTCCTCATCGTCCTGAACCAATAAAGATTAAAGCACAGTTTTGAGGTCTTAAGGAAAAGACACAGAAACAAATAAAAGCAGAACAAGAAACATGAAAGGAGAAAACAAACTCACATCACTGACTACGATGAATGTACAACTGCTTGGTAATGCATGAGAGTGCTCTATCTGCTCTTTTCGATCATTTAGGACGTGACAAGATGTAGGTGGGGAATCAATATCGTCTGTCGAGACTATTGATAATTGATTAGAAAACCTTTCCATGGGCTCACAAACTTCAACTATCTCTACCTCAGATTCACCGTTGCTAATTGCCTTTCGTTCAGAACTTCTATAATTGATCACCATGTCACTGCCCTGTTAAAGAAGTAATTGGCATATAAAGATATTTGGTCCCTTGATAAGTTGTGATGTAAGGTTAAACCAAAGTTGTTCTGAAAAAGAAAATCATCGACTAAAAGGCCTGAGAACAACAATTAGCTACAGTATGTTCCAAGACAAAAACTACTCACACTACTAAGTGAATCATCAGAGGAACAGCTTAGATCCACATGATGTGCAATTCTTTCGCTTTGCGCCGCCAAAAGCTCTTTGATTATTTCAATTTCTGACTCCTCCGCAGTCAATTCAAGTTTCCAAGATATCTAATAAAATGCAACAGCTAAAAATGTCAATCTTCTACGGGAACAACATGCAGTATAAACAAGCTTAACAATAAAAGTAAGATATCAATGGCACATGATTAAACTATGATCCAGCCATGTCTCCACATATAGTATTTTCAAGATACAATCCATCCAAATACAAAATCAATACTGTAGTTGAAGGTTTGACATGTCAAAAGTAAACATAATCCTTACCCTCATCAACAAATATTTATGCAGCAAAATTTTAAAGCCAAAAATTACAATTTCTATTTTCTACAGACCAAAACAAAATGTCTTTTGTGTGAACTGATGATGAACAACTCTACAACAATTAACCTTTTATATACCTGATTAGCATCCAGCTCTTTAAGTTTCAAACGATGTCCAAGATGAGACCTACTATTTCCCCACCGGCAAACGCGGGGAAATCTCAGTGTGTTATCCAACGATTTTGGACAAGCAACGTGGACATGCTCGTACAACCATATCTATTCCACATACAAAGAAAGGTTAAATTCTGAATTTGAGAGAACACATAATCAATATACCTAGTCATTAAGCAAAGGAACATGAATAACAAAAACATTTTTTGCATAAACAAGGATGCAAATTCCAACATCCACCCTTTCTAGGTTAGTTCATTTACCAAGAAAAGATGTTTAAAATACTCCAAAACTGAAAATAAATTAACTAAATAAACCTTTTTATACATTTAGGGTACTTACTTGAAGTAAAATAAGACAGCCTCCAACGTACTGAACATTCTTTTCTTTTCTTTTGCACAACCAATTAAATAGATCTTCGAGAACAGCTGCTCCCCAGGCAAATTGACTCACTTTACTAAGGTCTTGGAGAAGAGAAAGAAAGCGGGAATCAACCTTTCCATTTGAATTCGGGAAAAGTAAAGTTCCAAACGTGAATAACAAAAATGTCCTTGTAAAATCTTCGTCGTCTGCCTCCCCATAAGACTTGAGTCGCTCTTCAAGTGCTGCTACTGTTATTTTTCTGTTCCATAAGACAGCACCATATTCTCTCTCTAAATCTGAAAATGGGACATCTTCTCTTAAAATAACAGGATTACCTGTCACGGGAAGCCCAAGAATCAACGCAGCATCTAAAAGAGTGATTGTGATCTCCCCAGGAGGAAGTGTGAATGCGCATTTCTTGGGATTCCATTTATCCATCAATTCCACTAGCATGTTTTTGCAGAGCAGTTGATTTGGAATCAGAAGCAAATAGCCGAAACCAATCCTATTTAATGCTTCCTTTTGACACTGCGCCAACTTATTTACATGCTTCACAAATGATGGCAAGGAAAATCTTGTACTAAAGACCTGCATGCATGATTAGTGCGTTATAACTTATAACCATGAGCTAACTGACAGGTGAAGTCCATAAGAAGCCTCATACATGTCAAAGTAGCATGCACACAATGCAAACCCCTTTCTCAGCCCTCCTGCGACATGAATACTCTAGTGAGATTAAGTGGATGAGTGTACCACATATTGCTTATGGTTTGATGCATGCTTTACTCTCTCCCTTATAACAGCAAGATGTAGAATATTATCAACCCTGCCTACGTATATACAAGGTAATTGCACATTTATCATCAATGTACAACAGCGAGCAAAGAGAAGGCGCATATCTCTCAATCGACGCATACACAAAGTTAACTGCCAATGTTTTTTACTAGCATATCTAACAAATTATCAACTCATCTGATGCTTGAATAGTTAGAGATTAGAGAAACTATAAGCTGTTGATAAGTCAATAATCTATGGGATTAGGAGTTCCCTCCTATTGTTCTAGTGGATGAATGTCTACTATCCAGTGGATATTGGCCAACCATCCAGCGCATGACTGCTCAACCATCCTTGGCACCACTAGATACACAAGATGAGAAGCTCTCTCCTATCCATCCAAGGGATAACAGGAATTTACTGTAGACAATCTGATCCAACTAATCCACTCCACAAAGTCAGCCCCTATTTGGTTTAGATAAAAAAACAGATTTTTAGTAAATTTAGATAAAAGTTTGTGAAATGTGTGGTTAAAAAGTATGGTTCCATGAAATGTTTGGGTAAAATTAGTGTGTGGACACAACATTTAGCTCCTGTTTAACCCTTATTAAATTACAATTTATTTTTCCATCCATTCTCATCAACCACACATTCTCCAATAAAATAATATTATATGTAAACCTAAAAACTTTCCTTTCTTTTCTAACAATACATTCTCCAAAAAATTACTATTCGCCTCATTATTATTTGGAAAAATGGAGCCCAAACGGGCTTATTTTGCCAAAAACCAATGTTTTGTACGCTAGACATGGGCCAGGTTGTCAAACACAAGTCATATCAATTCCAGATCATTAGGTACTATTGTACTTAGCCCCTATTTGGGCTCCATTTTAACCAAAAATGCATGTTTCTCTCTCATCTTTTTAATCACAAGTTCTTCAATAAAATAATATTACACGTAAACCCAAAGTTTTTTTTTTTTTTTAACTACACATTCTTCAAAAAATCACCATTCCAAAATACATTTTCTTCAAAAACACATTTTAATGGAGCCCAAACGAGGGCTTAATTTTGAATCCAAAATTTTTGCTATTCCACAACTATCCTCCAATTTCTTGTGTCTGCATGCCAACAGTAGAGGGATCCAAAGGGGGCAAAGTAGTAAAATGGAATTGTGTCATTGACGGCAGAATTGGAAAATCAATTTCTTGGCTGGTCGTTAATGCATTGAATGGAGTAATTGCTTGTCACATGGTGTAGATTTTTTTTTATGAATATTGGACTATTTAAGAAAGAGAAAACTCTTTAAATTGCCAAAATAAAGGTTGTCAAACATGGGCTTAATTGTTGACTTTGCCTTTAATTTTAATTTTTTAGCTGAACCAAACTGAGGCTATGAGTGTTCTCTAAGAAAATCCAATATAAGTAGTGAACAAATGAGATACTCACTATCAACACATGCCCCCAATGACTAAGGACGGCTCGTTCTTTACAGTAGGAGGTAACAACCTCTCCACACACAAGAGGCATACTATTCTACAAGCCTATACACAACCAATTACGTATAACATACAAACACACTCTGCAAAGTTGCGTTAAAGCACGTGGACAAAGAGAATGTTAGTTTGATGCCCTTCTCAAGTAGTATTTTGTAAAAAGACATTATGAATTAACATTCGATTATTCGCATGTTACAATTTGAAATAATTATCTAAGGTTTCATGATCATATAGGATGTCACAAATTGTATACTCGATGTTCAAGTATAGTGAAACACAATTCGTGATGTGATCAAAATATGTCATTCATAATTGGTACATAAATTTGGACGCTTTTTGTTGATAAAATTGCATTATTCTTATTGAGATTTGTCTAAATTTGGGAATAAGAACAATATGCCTTTAATGCACATTGAATGAGACCTCATATATGACTCATTTGTGACTTCTTGGAATGAGACTCTACTCAATTATCAAACAAGTCACCTAAATTCTGAGCGAGTAATGTACATTTGGTTGCTAGTTCAAGTTCTTCGAGGTACCAGTGAGTGAAGTCCTCATTAGAAGATTGACCTTGAAACTTTGGGAATCGGGTCGAAATAGTTTGAGATCATATACTTGTAATAGTGGAATTTGTTAATCATCATGATGAGACGATCATCACTCTAAGGTATTTTCTACTAGCAATTGAACCTGAGATCTTGGACTCTATGTCGTGATTTGATCACAACGAATTCACCTTATGAAAATGGGACTTAGAGGATAATACATGTTGAATGGCAAAACATTATTTTTTCAGTTTCAAGATATTGACGGTCAAACGAAGGTTGACTTGTGGAACAATAATCGAAGGATATTGTTATCGGATCATAATCTACTTTCATAACTATCAATTGACTCGAGAGTGCAATCTTAATTTTTTGGTAGAATAAATCGGGATTAATAGATGTATATCAATTGGTCAAGAATTAACCCAATTAGAAACATCTATTGAACCTTGAGTCTTGTGAGTTCGGTTAGATCCCTCTTTTAGCTTTAATAAAGGTATGTTACTTAATTGGTCTACTACGATAAAGTCCAAAGAAATTTGTACAATTGTGAAACCCTAATTGAGCATTATAAATATGCCCTTTACGAGAACATTTTCAAGTTTTAGGATTAGCCACATTTTCATATTTCACAAAAAGGGAGGCACCTAAGGAGAACGAAGGAGAATATCTAAGGGAGGAAGTACTTGGCTACACCATTAAAAGCTTATAGTCTCACCTTTTATGTGTGAGGATTTAAAATAAATCCATTGATGTCAAGGTGATCTAAAATCCATTATTCAATTGAATTTAATCTTCCAAAAAAATTAATTTTATCTCGTGATGATTAAATCCAATAACCTAGAAATGCAGAAACACATAAAAATTAGCTTTCATAAGATTGGAATAAAATAATTAACTAGAAAATAAATCAAACTGAGAAGGGGCATGATTTTCCACGGAATGTAATCAAATTGAACCATGGCACTCATAAAACAAAAATTCAAAAACAAAACTCTGCTTCGTTTCCCTTTTTTTCCCAGACTTCTTTAGCTATTTTAGATGACCGAGGCCAGTCATTAATTTGATGAAAAAAAGATACCTTTTTGCCTTTCTCTTTGGGAAGAATGGAAGATCTTCTGCTTGGGTCCTTCATCTCAAGTTCTCTAGTAGAAATTTGAATGGAACTGAGAGTGAAGTGCAAAATTTGAATCCAGGGGGAGGGAGAATGTGTGAGTGACTTCTTGGTGGGGTGTGGGGTGGGTTTGAAGCTTGTATGAGAAGCTTAAGGATAAAAGGGGTAAAACTGTAAATGCACTTGACACTTTCCAAAAGAATTCATTATCGTCACTTTATTTTCTTTTCATACAATTTAGTCACCTGATTTTGTTAAAAATTTAAGTTTGATCACTGGTCAACCCTGCCATTCAGTAGCCAATTACGGGACTTACAAAACACAAATGGACTCCTCACCCTGTTAGCTGGATGTGGGTAACACTGCTCGATTTGGACAATTTTTTCTTATTTTCAAATCAAATCTATTCTTTTTACTTTCAAAAAAGTAAATCAAACTACCTTTTGCAATTACGAGCATGTTTAAGCCTCATTTTCGCCTAAAATGCATTTTAGAATAGTATTTTAATGGAGAATGATTAGTTAAAAAATAAAAAAAAGTTTTGAATTTACGTATAATATTATTTTATTGAAAAATATGTAATTGAAAATAAGAGAGGGAAAATGTATTTTGAAAATAATGGGGACCAAACAAGGACTTAGTTGGTTTCAAAATCATTGTTTATTTTACATCTATTTAGTTTAGCTGAAAATTAAATTTTCAGGATTTTTTTCATAAAACTTGATAAAAGAAAATCATTTAAGCCTATGTTTGGCTCCTATTTTGTTCAAAAACTCATTCTTTTTCAAAACTCATTTTTAACCACACATTTTCCTATAAAATAAATTTACGCATAAATAGAAAAAATTTCCTTACTTTTTAGAACCATGCTATTTGTACACAATGGTGTACACACTGCTTTACACCCCCCCCCCCTCCTCTCCCCCTTCCACATGGAGGGGGGCTCACGCACAATAAAATATTTTGGGCCCCCCTCCATGTGAGGGGGGTGTAAGGCCGTGTGTACACCACGAGATGTACACATAGCATTATTCTACTTTTTAACCTTACATTTTCCAAAAAATCTTTATTCCAAAATAGGGGCTAAAATATGTGACTAAAAATTTGATAAAAAATTGTGGGAATCATGAAATGTGTAGTTAAAATATAATTTTAAAAGTATGATTTTATTTTATTTTTATTTTTTTAAGGTGGGGGAGGGGCAAACAAGAACTTAGAAACATAAAAGCAATGTATTTCTAACAAGAGATTTTACTATTTGTACATAAAAAATGTAAATAATGAATTGCATAATATAATGTGAAGAAAAAAATATTTGATTGAAAAGCTAATTGTATTTTAAACTGACAAATGGTAAAGTGTCATATAACATTATATAATCCATTATATAAATCTCGATGTACATGTAGTTCTTCTAACAAGTTAAAACATAGATCTAAAATCTCAATACAATTAAGGCCTCGTTTGTCTCTCATTATTCCAAAACATTGTTTGTTACAATAAGATTATCCACCACATATTTACCTAATAAAATATTCTACACACAAACTAAGTCCCTGTTTGACCTACATTATTTTTTTCATTCTTATTCTTCTACTGATTTTCAACCACACATTTTTCAATAAAATAATATTTTCCATCACATCAATAAATTTTCCTTCATTTTCAACCACATATTCCCCATCACATCACTTCAAAAAAATGCATTCTCTCATTTTAATGTACACCAAACAGGGTATAATAAAGTTACTTTAAATTTCAACCATACGTTCTCACATTCTCCAAAAAATATTATTCATTACTACATTTCTCCTACAATAATGGGAGACAAACACACACTAAAACTAAGACTTTCTAAACATAAATGTTATGGTCCGTTTGATTGGAAGAATGAAATTTGGGTGGAAATAAAACGAATTTCAGGAAATTGAATTGCCTAGAACTTGTTTTACTGAGAATTGACAATTGTCTATGATTGGTATAATTTTTCACCTGAAAAATATTGAAATTTTCCATCTTTTGATGTTTGATTGGCTTTATTTTCCATGGAAATTATTTTTTTTTTTTTTCGAATTATTTGTGTTTGACAGCCATTTGTAAGAATTTTCCTAATTTTCAAGTAACCAACAACCCATGTAGAGAAAATGAAAAAATGATTTAAAATTGAATAGTGTAAAGAAAAGTAATGTACTTTGCGATAAAAACTAATTTGGGAATAGAAAATGCAAAAACAACTTTTTTATTCCTTGACAGATACATATTTTTCACTAGTAGGTGAATTGAAGAGAAATTAGGTAGACTAATGTTTTTCATATACATAATTGACAAAAGACATCCACACCAAATGTTACAAAACACTGCACACTAGTTGTTACGTGTGTGCGTTACAAAAAACATTCAAAGCACTATTTATGCAGATTAAGTTTTCCAAATACATACAAGTTAATACATACTAACGCCACAAGTCGTGCAATCTAAGGTAGTGGAGGCGGATCACGACCAAACTTGTCAAACACTAAAACACACATGTATTTTGTACTCGTCAAGTTCATAAATACCTTAGCCAAACCATCATCGGATCGAAAGCTTTCATGATGTCGTCCATGTCTACGTTCATGGCCTCAAGCTTCTCTAGAATCAACTGTCGGGTGACATGATTCGGTGTATCTAGTGTAGCTTGCATTTCCATAGCTTGGGTAATTTTTGTAGATGAATCGACAATCCTTGATAGGGCGATAGTACTCTCATCCACCGGTTGTGCATGTCGACGCTTAGCTTTGTTGGTCTCTTTTTCAGCGATACGCTTACGAGCTTGAACTAGACTAGGATCCATCTCCACATTTTCCACTACAACCTCATTCACACTTTCATCAATTACTACATAAAAGAGATAATAACTTGTTAAGAGTTTATACATGAATACAAACAAGGTATCGTACTGTAAAATGTATTGCATACCATTCATTGGGGAGAAATGGTCGAATCCAAGTACTGCACGATCTCCGGTGGTAGCATCATTGCCAAAGATAGTCTCCATCTCATCATATCTTGGAAAAGTTTGGTCCTCCACTTCCCAAATTCTGACTTTCCCTGCAAAATAACCTTGTAAGTGTATTATAATTGTCCCAAAACATCTATATTTCCATTAGATATTAGTAGCAACAGGGGCGGACCCAAGGGGGTCCTGGGGGGCACGTGTTCCCCCCCCCCCCCCCCCCCCCCCCCCCACTTTTCTTTTTTGGAGAAAATAGGTTTTATAATAGTAACTTTTTTTTTAAGAATGTGTGGTTAAAAAGTAGGAAAATATTTTGGGTTTACATGTAAAATTATCTTATGGGAGAATGTGTGGTCGAAAATAAGTAAGGAAAAAATAGAGTTCAAACATATGCTTAATGAAAGGTTAAATCTCCAAGTATTGGGGATTTACAGGGCCTTCACAGAGGGGAAGGCCCCACATGTATTTAAAAAATAATAATAATGAGGGCCATACCCATGTGTGTTGCCTGGCAGGGACTTGTGAAAAAGGTCCCTATACTTGCAGCATAACCATACCCTAAAAATGCTGTGAGTACAGAAAAATTCAACAGAATTTTGAATTTTACGCACATGGGGGTGGGTCCCATGTGAGTAAAAAATTGATACTTTTACCTACCCCCCACCCCGATGTGTCTATCCTGTATATGTACAGGAATTCAAATTCATGTACATATAGCAGAATTCTATTTACCTTCTGGCTGACAGCTACCACTAAAACATCATCATTCATTCTCAAATTCCTCACTGGAGACACTGCTAAACGCTTAGAATCCTGTCAACCACACAAAATTAACACATCAATGGAGCATACCATTTAGCAATAGCAATACTATAACAATGTATTAGAATAGAAACCAAGTTAAAGGTCCAGCAGTAGGGTACAATAAACAGTCAGAAGTTATTCAATCAAAGAGAAAAGCATCAACCTAACAAAATATGAAGGAAAAAGCAGAAGGGTCTAAAAAAAACACTTGACCAGGCTTTTGAGTGGTTTGATACTCCCAAAACTTGACATCATGATCCGCAATCCCGGTGACAAATCCATCAGCAGTTGCAGCAATAGGCTGAACAGAGCCACCACGAGCTTCAACTACTTCCATACAAGTACCATTTCGAACATCTATAATTTCTAGTGTACCACCTTTTGTACCAACAACTGGGGACAAATAGACCACACAATCCATATCCTGAACCAATAGTTCTGAGGCAAGAACCGGCACTCAGATTTCATATTTTAATTGTACTGTGACTTGTTGACATCAAAAGAGTATCATCTGAGCTAAGTGTGAAACTTCTCATATCAGAAAAATATCCCTGGAGCTCAATGGCACTTAATTTTGTGGTTGAAGTACTCTCGGTTGAATAAACTTCCAATAAATTATTGTTAAGAGACAATGCTAAGGTAGCAAAGAGCATCTTGAAGTGATTGGAGAAAAAGAAATGGAGCATATCTTCTTGCTGGCTCGAACAGTCTGCAGGAGATTAAAGATATCAGGAACAGTAACGAGGATTGAAGTCGAAAATTCGACTACCGCAATCAAAAGAACAAAGAAAATAATAGAAAATAAAAATAGAAGAAGAAACGCGGTATGCCAAGGCAAATCTCTTTAAGACAGATTATCAAAAAATTTCGAAATTTTATATCAAAAAAAGTCATATCTTATGTAAATTTTCGAATGCAAAATTACATGGAGTATAATTTTTTTAGACGTAAATTTTCGATTGTAAAATTTTTCTCAACTTCTTTGCAAGTTCGATTGTGCCCCGCTAACTTCAAACTTCTGAATCCACCCCTGAGTAGCAATGTCGAAAATTCATCTTAATTTGTACCTTAATAAAATCTTCCCAAGCAACGACGTCAGCTACACTGCGTCCAATTTCGGGATTCAACCCAAAACCGCTCATATTTAGCAACTAGCGAACTCAGTAGGCTCCTTTTTAAGAGTCTTCAACCTTACCCTTACATTCTTATCTGAGACCATGACCCAGCATCCATTGAGAACCCTGTCAATTGCCTTAGACATTTGAAACGAAGTAAAACCATTTTCACTTCATTTGTGTCCAGCCAACACTTGTTCAACAAGTGAAGTGATCATAGAACCATCCATTTCATCACACCAACGTACGTGACGAGCCCTAGCATTAGGATCCACTTGCAATCTACCAAAATCAATGTCATTCCCATCCAAAGGGGATGTCGGTCTGGGAACTCGAAAAGGGCCAGTAGAGCTTCGTCGATTCTTTGCTATCAACAATGTCACTTGAAAACAGGAAAAGGTCTATATTAGCATAACTAGAAGGAACAACAGTATTGCTTGAAAACAATCTAACAACGATATAAACCAAGTAAAGAGATTTGAAACTACATAATAGAGACAAATGTAGATAGCCTTAGAAATAAGAAAACATTACAACAAAACAAGTATCGAAGACAATGTTATAACATAACAAGTATAGAAGAAACCTTAGTACGAGTTAAGAACACTAGCAAGTTTATCTCCAAACATTACAGGGAAACACAAATAATGAAATACAACATAGTATATTCAATCGAAATCAATTCCTGCATCATGACTTGGATGGTAAGTGACCCACATGTCATCAGCCATTGTATCTATATTACTAGACCATACAGCTTTTGCTATGAAAGATATAGGAGCATTTATTGTGTCATCTACGGGTGCATCAACATGTCCAGGGTTGACCTCATCATCGCTACTATATTAGTCTTCGTCACAAATATCCCATGCGTCATAAATCCTTAAGAAGTTGTGAATGACACAATAAGCAAGGACAATCGTTGCTTGTGTCTCAATGTCGTGGTATGGTTGATGCTTCTGATATGTGAATCTTTTTTTAAGCAAACCAATAATCCTCCCCACAACATTTCGTAGACATGAATGTCAAAAATTAAGCAGCTCTTTCTTGCTTTCAGGCCGATGTCCCTCAATATCTCTATGATGGTACAGAGTCCGGCTGTAGGGTGCTAGAAATCCTGGAACCAATGGAAATCCAGCATTGGCAAGATAATATTTACACATTCCACATATTGTTGTTAAGTTGTCGTTCTTTATTGAAAGATATGAAATACAAATTATTGAACAAGAAGTAGATCTTACCAATAGAAATTGTTAGCCTATGACCTTGTCGTAAAGTTACACTCCTTAACAACCGACCGTTGTGGACAGATCCCTCTCAACCGGCAAGCATATACCTAAACTTCATATCAAATGTGCAAGAGACCAAAACATTCTGAGTTATCATTTGCTTCCTATTGCGATACCTCGCTTGTTCCTCTACAGGGACATTTGCAGGAATGTGAGTACCATTGATTGCCCCTATAGAATCCTAATACGAAAACAAAAAAGTTTGGTTACAAAAGGAATAGTGATAGTGAAGGAAAAATAAACGAAGTTAAATATTACTACCTTAACCTGAAAATATTGGAACCATGGCTTCAATTTATCCTTCTCGTATGGTGAGTTATGAATAATGGCATTGTTCACAACATCTATGTACAATCCAAGACAAGCCTATATAACTCTATGGAAGTAGTAACTCACTGTTTGACCAGATCTGAAGAACTTAAAACTTCTAGTTCGATTACGGTGGTCATGACAAATTCTATAACTCTTACCAAACATCCGTATAAGTGTCATTTCTCTTTCAGAATCCCAGTTTCTATGTGGGGCTCTAGGGAGTTGTCGATTACGATGCCGATGGTATTATATATTATAATTGTTTGCATGACCATCGTCCAAAATAGACCCAATTGTTGTCATTGATGACGACATTGGTTCTTGTGGTAACCATGATACGTAGAACAATGTCTAAAACATGTCAATATGATGTAAACTATTGTTGAAAATGAACAAAAAACGAAAATGTATATGGTCAATGCGAAAATGCAGGTAAAAATGAACTAACACACCTCCAGTTATCAACTCAAAATGACTATTCCAAAGTAATCAAATAGGTTTTTAATTAAAAATAAATAAAATTCGTAAGCTTCTTAACTCCATGAAAAATGTCACATTCGAGAAAAACCAGCTCACCCATGATAGTGTGAAGAAATGGGAATGGAGGAGTGGCGCGAGAAGAATGAAAAAAGGAAATGATAGTGTTTGATGTGAGAAGAAAGAGAAAGGGAAAGTATGGATTTGTTTCAATTGCCAAGAAAACAAAAAATCGGCTCACCCATGGAATCTTAATTCCTCATTTTTGTTAAATAAAGGGTCGCGTGACCGAAAATGAAAAAAAACAATTGCCAAGAAAATATTTCCTATCAAACAGGCTAAAAAGTGAAAAATAGTGGGATAATTTCCATCTTCCATGGAAAATTTGGCATATCAAATAGGGCCTTATAATATAATATTATTAATTCAAATTTACAGCTATGAAAATAATTCAAAGTTTAATCATAGCAATTAAAAAATTTTAGTTAAAAAAAATAAAAAACATCTTGATGGTAGCCAAAACCTAAAGTGAATGTCTTTCATCTAAGCCTCATTTTACTCCTAGTAGTCAACCCCCATTTGAATTATATAACGAATAATGAATTTGATGGAGTTAATGGATTATATTTCTTTATATTAAGTGGGTTTTTATTTTAATTTTACAAATAGTTTGGTTAAGTTTCAAACGGTTTTAAAGTATCTAAACCGTTTGGTTTGGTTCTAAACTCAACATTGACCGGGTTCATGCAGTACAAAACCAACAATTCAATTTGATTATGCAGTTTTGTGATTTTTCCAGCCATGGTTGGAAAAGCTAAGCAAGAAGTTACATCTTTTTTGTTGGAGTAATACTGTGAAGCACCGCTGATGTGTAACATAAGTCTATATGACGACATAATAACATTGTACAATAAATCTAATTAAATATGTTACATATTCCTACAATCAGTGCTTGTGTGAAAGTGTTTATATTAAAACCACTTTTTTCTTCGTACTTATTTTCAACTACACATTCTTCAAAAGAAATACTAATTTTCACGCAAGCTCTTAATTGGATCTACCTCTTATGCATTGTGTAGCCACTAAAACTAGACACAAGCAACTTTTGCTTATCTTAAATAGTAATGCTATTCATCATCGTCACAAATTTTCAAGAAGTTATTATGTAAAAAATTAAAAATCATCTCAAATAATATTAAATCAGGAGATTACTACCACCAATATTGGTGATGATTATTACTGGAGATGAATAATATTATTCTATCTCGAACTTGGATGTAACAACTCTTAAGTCAACGTGTATTTTTTGTACGTCGCGTAATTGATTTTAGCAGAAGGTATAGTAAGTTAATTAATTGAATTTTTTTACATAACTTGGGTAACTAAAATATTACGAATAATAGTAGACTGACTATAATAATAATAATAAAATGTTAAGTGAACTATAGAGTTCTTTGCCCGGCAAAATTTACAACACCAATTTTAATGAGACCGCTTATAACTGATCATGTGGGCTCCAAGAGACTAGGGGTAGGCAAATTGCACTCGAACCCACCAAACGGGTCGGGTCGGGTTAGTGTAGGAGGCGGTCGTGTCGGGTTGGTTTTGGGCCATATCCGACCCGACCCGGACTCATTGCACACCCCTAATTATAGAAACTGACATTTTGTAAATTTTTATTAAGCTTATTTTTCAACAATTATTTTGACATACATAAGCATTATGTGTATATAGGGGGGGTGGACCCATATTAAAATATTTACTCAAGTAATTTATATTTTAGCATTAATCTCTACATTAGAAAGGCAGAATTTATGATGATTTAGGACATTAGAAAGTAACTCAAAATATATTATCACAATATTATCTTTACATACAAAAATATATTCTTCTCTTATTAATTTTAAAGAGACAGTGACAAATGAGTTTGCACGTGATTAGGTTGGCTAATGCAACATTTGTTATAAATCATCAACTCAACCAATCAGCTTAACTAATTTACCTAATTAAGCACTTTTTTCGGGTTTGGTTTTCTAGGTCAATTAGTGTATTCTTCATCTGTTTGGTACGTTATATTGTACTATACGATATAAAAAAATAAAAAATAATTATTTTTTTATCTTATCGAACATATATACGTATCAAATAGCTACTCTATTTTCAAAAAAATACAACTTACGTGCTCATACTCGACGTTCAAGAATTGAGGTACTAATAATCAAATGATATCATCTTTCCTCGTAAGTTCGTATTGGAAAATAACTTTTTAAAATAAAATGGTTTTGGTTGGATTTGGACCAAATATTCATAATATAATGTCTAAATAATCGTGATTTGGTACATAGAAGTTACTAAAATATATTGTGTTGTCCTTGCTCTTATCTTCCCTATATGCATCTGTTGGCCTATTATAAGACATGTTTCTTCATTAGTATTTGCAATCAAAGAAGCAAGCTACATACTGGTGGTGATGAGGTTCCATCATCGCCGCCTTCTCGAGGCGGAGCCAACTGGCCCGCCATCACCAATCACGGCCAGGAGTGAAGGTTCATACCTAAGCGAGTCAGACTTTGACGCCAACATGGTTGTAATCCTGGCAGCCTTGTTATGTGCCCTTCTTGTTGTGCTTGGATTAAATTTACTTGTGCGATGCATTCTACGTCGTAGGTCGGAAGAACAAGCTGATGTGCGGCTCACGGGCCTCAAGGAGCAGGTTTTGCGGCAGCTTCCGATGGCAGTGTACGGTCCCGGAGCCAATATTCCGGTGACAGAATGCCCTATTTGTTTAGGAGAGTTTGTAGAGGGGGAGAAGATTAGGGTGCTGCCCAAATGTAATCACGGGTTTCATGTTAGGTGCATAGACACATGGCTTGTTTCACATCCGTCTTGCCCAAATTGTCGGCATTCATTGCTCGAGCCGCCTTCAACTCACGTGAATACGACAAATTAAGTCCCTGTTTTTCTCAATTTATTTAGTACTAATAGTACTCCCAGATTCAACGTTGTATGATACTCATTAAGTTGAAAGAGAGTAAATGAATTTGTATTGAACTATTAAAGAGAGAAGCGCGATAATGATAAACAAGCTGGACAAAATAAATAGCGGTTGATGAATTTGGTAATTAATCTGAAAAGTGATATGAATATAAATTGACTGTTTGACAGTATAATTGCAAAAGTGCATTTTTGTTTTATTATTTGTACAAATGTTACATACTAAACTTTAATAATGTATTCAAATAATATTTATTTCCATTTTACAAAATCTATTAAAATAAAAATTAATTAAAATTACCATGACATTATTATTTAATGCATATATCTTGTTTGTGATTTTTTTTTTCTTTTAATAAGTTTAAATTTTATATGATCGTTTGAACGAAATATTGAAGTATACAAATGCTTTGATTTCAAGCTTTATAAATAAGAAATGTCATTTGAAAAAATACAATAATATATTCAAATGGAAGAATACAATAAATAATATAATATTACACAATACATTCTTACAAGTTGACGTTACTTTTTTTTTTTCCTAGACTTGAGATTAACTACAAAATCGTAGGTAAAATTTAAATTGTACATGAATTAAACATTTAGCATACAATTTTTTTATTTTTATTTTTTTGTTAGACAACGTTCAATTCAGACTAGGATTTTGCAAAATGAATTCGAATTTTGAGTGGTGAACGCATGTCGCAAAAGCAACCTGCATGAGCCTACACGAGTCAGCTTGTGGTGAACTGTGCATACATAACTGAGCCCATGAGCGAACTCGTGAAACTCATGAGCCTTTGAGGTAGGCCGAGCTTGTCTTTCAACTTTAAAAAGGAAGCTCAGCCCAGCTCGACTAGGCTTGAATCAATGCCATCTCTAGTCAACAAGCAAGTTTTTACTCTAATCAAACATGCATTAGAGTAACAAAAACGACTTCTAACCTCCAAGAAGTGCTTTTTTAGGCCTTGCAAAAGCTAGGGGAAAGCATAATCCCATTTAGTTTGATTTCGAAGAGAATCATAACCAAACTAGAATCAATGGTTCTTTTATAATGGAACCATTCGTTCCATTGATAATATATATTTGGAGTTTTTTTTTTATAATTTTTTTGGTGACTATCACAATGCACCACACCCTTCTCATACTTGTGACTCAATTCTTCCAAAAAAAGATTGCAACCATATCATCTCTTTACTAGCTTCAGTTACAACAACATACTCAGCCTCAATAGTGGAAAGAACAAATATGTTCTGCAACATAGACACCCAACTAACTGCTATACCACCCAAAGTATATATATATATCCAATGAAACTCTTCCTGCCACCAGCTCTACGAAGTGACAATAATTAGGCTTCACTAATAACAATTGTCTTTCTGCAACATTTTTCCAGGCTATGGCAAATATTTCAGCGGAGACATTGGAGAAAGGACTGCTAACCCCAAAGAGCAATGTTTGTAGTTTTGGGATTGTCAATTATGCTTCTTGAATTGCTCACTGGTAGGAAAAATCTTGATAGTTGTCACCGAAAGGAAGAGAGGAATTTAGTTATGTGGAGTCGGCCTTTTCTGGCTGATGAGTCTAGACTGTCCCTGATTGTGGATTCTCAGCTAAAGGGTCATTTCCCTGCCAAAGCAGCACAGGCAGTGGCTGATATTGCTCAACGATGTCTTCAAATGGATCCATCCGAGAGTTCCACCATGAGAACTATTGTAGAGCATCTCAAAACCGTAGAAGACGTAAAATATACCTCTCAGTTTCCATTGCAAGAGCCAGGAGCGGTTACATCAAAACATATGTTAAGGTCACCCAGCTTGAATAGGATCATTACACCAGCTCCTAAGTCCAAATTCTCTCCTTACTTCCAACAAGCAGATTATCTATATCGTCCACAAGGTTTGCTGTACTGCCGTTATCTTTTGCTCCCAAAACATGTTCGTCTACCCTCTCTGGGGAGGATATAGTTATACAAGAAAGCAGGAGATCATCATCCTCAACTGTTCAAAGGTCTAGTGTTGAAGGATTCTAATTGTCCGTAGACACCATTTTTTTTTTTTATTTCTTAATTTTTTTGCATAGAGGTCTTACATGACAGAGAAGATAAAGCCGTGGTTTTGTTCGATGGTCAATGTAATGTAAATAAAGTTCGTTATCTTGGGTTTGTTAGTTTCTACCGTTCCAAAATGCCGGTTGTATATCCTTTTTCGTGGCCATCTCCATATATATTATATATGAGTCTTCATCGCTTGAAATTATTTGACGATATTATCTTTAGAAACATAGTTATCATTTGTATAATGTAGTTAGCTCCCTCATTTTCGCCAAGAGTTTACAACAACTATACTTCTATAAACAATATGTAGATTTACACTCCATTCTAGAGTATGATCATTAAAAACACTTGAAATACCACATTTATAGGAAAATTTCTACACGGATAGGACAGGAAATAAACTTGAAAACAACCAAAGCAGGAAAAATATCACGAGGTAACATTTTCACTTTGATATGGTTCAGAGAGTTCGCCATTACCATCTTGATCCTCTTGAACAACAGCAGCAGGGGCAGAGTCTTCTTGCAGTTGAGTTTCACTCTCTTCGGGGGCCTGTGGAGAGCCTGTATGGACGGAAGCCAAGCTTGTAAGACCATTCTGCCTTAAATATGTGTCCAAAGGCAAACTAGCTTCATGAAGGAGACTCATCATGCTAACACGCAGTGACCCTGTATAAACATTTTCTCTATCTGGACAAAAATTTAAGTCCAGTCCTCCCTTGTGCATTTCAGCATTTTCTTGAGAATGATTGTTGTCAAGGCATCTGAAAAATAACTCACTTACCGATCTTTTTTCATTATCAGATGGATTAGGCTGCGAGTTTGCCTGACTGGGGATACTTTCAACCTCCGCTTCTTCCTTGGAATCCACCGTAAACTGATTCCTCAATGCAATTTCTGCTTCACGCTCTGATTGACGTTTCTTCTTGCGCAGCATCAAGGTCTTGAAGCGCCGTTTGACTGTCATGCATACGTTGCAGATGCATGTGGGCTTGTGTTTGCCTTTCCCACTGGGAGGCTGTATGCACACAATGCAGGAGCAGCCAGGACGATGTCTTGGATGTTTGGTAGTGGTTGCAACAGATGAAGCGCCTGGCTCACTCAAGTCACCTCCAACAGATGCAGCATTCACCAGAGATTCTTGTACTGCAGATTCATGTGCCTCTGCCAATTTGTAGCTCGTTGCGAATCTCTTTTTTTTAAGCTCTATGCAATAGAAAATAAGCAGGTATTGTAAGATTAACTGATTACATAAAATGCACAGTCAACTAAGTTTAAATGATACACCTTAAAACAATTCTGGCAAATAAACTTGTCACTTTCGTTGTAGTTTTAAAATAACAAGCATGATTGCACCTAATAGTGACCACCAAAAGACTATTCTTGTTCATTCTAGGATGAATACGAGTGAGAGGATCAGATTCATCTTCACGGGTTAAAGTATGTTAATATGACCATAAACCAGCATTTTTCTTCAAAATCTACGAAGTTTCCTAATCAACTAATCAAACATAGTAATTATGTCAAGTTTGATGCCCTGGTCCCAGCCCATCGACTATGGACATAACTATCCTTCACTTTGAAGAAAAACAAAAAAGGATGGTCCAACATGGCAGACACCATCAGTATTCAGTAACTTAGGACAGAATTACCGTACCACTGTTCATTTTAAGAAGATTTTCAAGTTCCCTTGGGCCCAATTCACCAGGTGCAGAACACGAGCTTCTGATAGAAAAACAGCATTATTCACTTAAACTTCTTGTCTAGCAAAAGGAACTCATCACACACAAAAAAATAATAATAATAAAAAAAATCATTTTTCCACCTTATCTGGTATGTAAACATTGAACATCACAACCAACCTTGTTTGGTGCCAAACATTGTCCTGACATGTCCACTTCGGAGGGAGAAGAATATCAACTGGTAGTCTTCGCCATTTAAAGCAGCTATCGCACTGAGCCCACTGTTCCTGCTCGTCCCTGGATAAAGGTGTTCACAAGTTCATTCAGTATTTAAGCCCTAAAAGAAATTGAGGAAATGCAAATAATTGTAGGTATACACATGGATTTTTGTGATTTTTGTGACTGCAAGTATAAATTATATTGATAGATGGCTCATAGGAGGAGGCAAAAATACTGAATGTTTGCCCGCGTACACCGGGTCAACTTATCACAATATGGGAATCATCATAGAGGTTGGTTCATGAAGGGAGACATAATAGTCTTTGAATTACTGTTAGTCTGGAGAAATTACACTGAAATATGTTTTATGAATTTTTTATCTTACCCAGATAGGCGGACAGTAAAAATAGCCATCTTCCCAAAGACGGGCGGTTCCTGATAGAAAAGACGAACGTAACCAAAACCATAGATTCTTAGTAATAGATGTAGGAAATCCCTGTTCATGCAGTAATAAAGAAACAATAGAAGGAAAGAAGAAATTTTCAAAAGTTTCTTACTTCAAATTCTTCGAATTCTTGATCCTCGATTGTAACAGTGCTTGGCTTGACACTAAGAGGTGGGCGGAGAATATCCTGTACCTCCTCCCACGAAACTTTCAGCTCCAACGCATCTTGACTATCAATATGTAATCTCCTACTCTTTGAGCCAATATTTCGACTTCTTTTGCGCTCAGGAAGCAGCAATGATTGGGGCAACTTACCTTCTCCAGCTTTGGACCCATTCTTCTCAGTGATTAGTGAACTTAAGCTGCCGCCGTAGAAATGTTTAGATGGCATGTTCATAGAAGAATTCCTGCTTCCTTTCAGTGATTGAAGAATTCCAGAGTAGCCACTCATTACAGGTAGATTCTCTGCAGCCGCCAATAGTGGTTCATTTTGGAACACATTACTATTTATGGCAGATAGATGTGAACCCTGCTTAGTGAACAACACCAATATCAGCATTCCCCAATGGAATTCAAATGCCAAGAAAGTTACATACATTTCATGGATACATAAAAGAACACAGAGCAACTTATCCGCTATGAAAAAATGACTCCTAGAACAATTAGAAATGTTACTACCTGCACAGAAATAGTGGTTGATGCTTTGCGAAACCCCATCAGAAGTTTTCCTTCTGGATCCATGCGACTGAAAGTTACTGGAAGGAAACATCCCAAAGCAATGAGAAAATGAGTAATTCTACACTAATTTCCCTAAAAACTATAACTTAGGGATAAATGGTACAAGAATGGACTTTATCCAAAAATACATGTAAAATATAGTTCAAAATTTGAGTACTTTAACTGTTTCCGTGAAACTCGTTACATATGGTCAACACGTGTGAAACCAAAAGAATATTGCCAATGAAAGGCCATATGTTATAAAGGAAATTTTAAAAAATTAATATTTGAAATGATGATAAAATTCCCGCAAGACAAATCCATCTATCTGCACGAGGAAAATGATATGCCAGACATGAGGTCAAACCCTGGATGCAGTGGACTCTAATATCTTCACCTTCCTTCCACAGCAATGCCATCCTCATTCACCTAATTCTGAGGAACGGGACATACTAAAGAGCATGCATCAATCCTCAACTGCCCGGTCCCAATTATGGTTATTCATATAGCATAATTGATGGAAGAAACTAGCTATCAAAATATCCTTGGCAATTTTTCAAAATGGACCTCTTCTAATGGTCAAAGAGGGAACGGCCCTCTTTTATTTTATTTAATTTAAAAGGCCTTTGTCATAGTCCAAATGTCCAACTTTGGATAACACCTGATTCTATTGACAATAGAATCAGGTGTTATCCAAAGGCTAGGCATAGAAAAGTACCTGTATCACCAGCCTGTAATTGCATTGACTGGATGCAAGGAGTTACACCCTCTAAAACATACATTCTGCTGTTATTATTCGGCCAAAATCTAAACTGGAATACCCATTCTTTGCCCTTCACATCCTGAATCCTCAGAGGAAGGCCCTCCGGTTGAGAGATTGGTGGAAAATATGCCTGAACATGAGTTGGACATTATCCCAGAGAAAGCTAAAATCAAACAATCATCCAGCTTGGGAAGTTCGGGGAGCATGGGGCAATAAATGTAATTGTAGTGTGCCTCTCAATGGTCATCTATACTTACTTCAGCACACGCTTTAGGAAGAACTAGGCGACCAATTCGACCAGCATCACTAGCACTCAAAACCTTTTCAAATAACGGCACAATGGCAGAATTTGAGCTTGAAGATAACAAAATTAAGGAAATTTCTGGAAGGCATTAGATAAGAAACTATTAAACATAATTAGTGTCAAATGATAGGTAACTGATTAAAAAAACTTAAATATGGATACTCTCCAGATATTTGTTGCAACTCCTTGTCTGTTATTCGAGGCCAATAACGAGGTAGCAACTGATTCTTAACCCGTCCTTCAACAGGTGGCCTCGCAACAAGTAACTGTGAAATCGTGGTAGTGTTTGTTTCCAACCCAGCAGAAAGACTGGAATTTGGGGGTCTCTGGAAAAGATGGCAGGGCCTACACCCCTGATGAAAGGAAGAAATTGAAGATTCCCTTTCATCAGCAACCACTCCATAGGATGGAATTGTATTTGCTGAAGCAGACAACGCGATACTCAAGTTCGTTTCAATTAATGATTTATGTACATTTTTAACATCCATATGAGCTTTGTATGCATCTATGTTTTGTGATGATTCAATAGATGACTGATTAAAATTTATTAATAATTTATGTCCAATTTCTCTTGAAGCAGGAAAATCTTCTTCCAGTTTCTTTGGACCAAGAGATACTATTGGATCATCATTCCCGGGAGGTACCAATAGTTTCCGGCAGTCATTTTGAACATCATCACCAGATTGTGTACATATCAGCTTATCAAGATTTCCACTGATACCATCTGCAGTTGAGATGGTACATAATTTAGATTTTTCGTGTGTTGAAGTCTGCATAAAAAATTGGAAGCATCAGAAAACAAGCCGATTTTTGGAAAAGCACTGTACTGTTCCACGAAACAATATATCCAAAAAAATGATAAAATGAATATTGTTCCAAAGATTTCAAAATCAGAGACAATATGGACAGATTAATCATGCCAGAACAGCTAATGACTGAATTTGGAATAGCATTCGTAAAATAAATTTTCCTTGATAAAATAATATAATTGAAAACTACATAAATAGCTAACAATTACTATACAAATGTGTTTCTTCCGTTGGTTAAAATGAAAAAACCAATGGCTGAAAATTTAAAAAGTTAAAACGATAAAAGAATTATTATGCAAACATGAAAAATAATCTGACTTCAAATAATGGGTAGATGCTTGAGGTTCCAATGCTTGAAAATTGAGTTACAGTCTCATATCTGTGAGGCTGAGGTTAGAGGGAGGGAGGGTTTCTTTCACTGAATAGAACCTCAAGAATTGGGGGAAAGAAAAGAAGTTTGAGTTCCAAACAACTCCTCCCAATTAGCATTTCCTAATTACTAAAACTGAAGAAAGATAATAAGACCTATCACGTGTGAACGGTAGAACATTAAGGACGTATTTGGTATGCGATATTCGACAAGAGTAGACAGTAAAAATCAATAAGATTTTAGCTTCAATTTCTTTCTTAATACCATCCAATCCTATCCATTACTACGTACTGAACCTGCTTTAAAGGATGAAGTCCAAATGTACTATCATATCTGGACAGGCAATAAATTGGTCTTACGCTGTGAGGCTTAGAACTTCTGCAGCAGCCAATACAGTTCACGCCCCCATTGTCAAGCAGTTCAAGCAAAGAGCTGGAAGCTATACATCCGCAATGAAGACGCTGCGAATATCAAACGAATTAAGTTCCTGTACAAATAAAAGAGGATTTTCTGACATGAGTTGTTTGACACGATGAAGCACCCTGCTAGCTCACCTTGCCACATGAACTACACTCCCTCCAACCAGTTTCTGTCGAGTGAAACATTTCACAGAAGACTAATTGCTCATAAGCAGTCCTGCGGTCAAATAAAAACAGCAATATTATATTCTCTGGATGAATTCATCAACTCGTATAAATGACATTGCAGATCAGGATATTTCATTTTACCCTCTGATGGATATTCAACCTCAACATAGTATACTCTTAACTCTGCTCAATTCTCAAGAACCGAATGATGTCAAAAACTTATTCTCGAGTTGATGTGCGCACATAAAAAAGCTGAGCAGTTCTAAAGCAAAATTAGAATGAAGAAATTTGAGTGAGCTTTTATATTCATACTAAAACCTAAGTGGTATTCTATTTGCAGTTAAATTTTACTAAAATAGTTCTCTATATCACTTCTAGTTCAATTTATAACCGAATACATTTTGCAATATACACTATGCATATACGGACGCCAAAACATATACAATTGAGATCAAGAACAATGGTTTCTTGTCTATGAACTGTGAATTTATTTTCCCCATGACCCATAAAATCCAAGTCTGCAGCATAATATCTCGGATGAAAAAATATATATATAATTCCGAGATAACAGGAGATACCCACCTCCAAGATTTGTACATATTTTAAAAATTTCTTCTTTTGAAAAGGATGGTCCCATTGGCGATTCACTCTTTCCAGTTCAATTACAATAGATAATACAAAATTACACAAAATTTAGAATAAGAGTAATTTCTTCTGACCAAAACCCCCAAAATGAAGTACCACAGAAATTCCCATAAGAGAAATAGAGAGATCTGAATATAATTTTTTACCCGCACTTAGCACAGAGAGTGGCAAATCCACCGGATCGCAGAGGCCAGCCCTTTTTCCATTCAATTGACGTTGATGATGCCCCACAAAATCCATTCATGCACGACCCAGAATCCATTTTCAAACTACTTAAGCACATGAAATTAAAAACAAAAATTCAACTAATTTACTGGCAATAAGTTAATTAAATTATTCGAATATGTCACTGATACTAACCTGGAAACTGGGAAATTCTTTTTCTGATTTTTGGTTCCTATTTTAAGAGAAAGGGAAATTTAAATTGTGATACTGTTACATAAGTAGTAGTAGCTAATAAAGATTCGAACTTCCGAGGAAGTAACGGTCGGAGGAAAACTCCGGTGACCTGAAAGTTGGATCGGCGGCGGAGGAGACTGAAAGATGTGCATGCAAAGAAAGAGAAGGAATTGGGGTCTCAAAAATGCATGCACCAGACTTGAAGTCTCGCTATGGTCGCCCACCTTTCTTTTTCAGGTCTTCCTCCACTCACGCCACGCCACCCCAACCCACCCCATACGCCCTCTTCTTTTTCACATTTTTATTTGATTGATTAATTGATGATTATACAAAAAAATATTATTTAATTTCAAAATTATTGGTGAAGGAATGGAATACATTCCCATCTACAAGTGCATAGTTTCCATCCAGATAAGGTACTGTATCAAACAAAATGATTGTAGAAATCGAAATTATCATGTTAAGCTCGGATCACTCTCATAATCACGGTCTCATAACTCGAGTCCAAAAAGTTTGATTCCTCATAAATATCGGCATGTATCCATCACCCTCATAAAGAAGGTCGAGATGCAGAAATAAGAGCTACATCTCTAACTGCAAACTTGGACCTAATGGAGAAAGGTGGAGCAGTTTATCCAACGTTGCTTATACCATTATGAATAGGCTCTATTCATAGCCGGACCTCAGCCCAAGAGGCTGTTGCCTCATGCCCAACTCGTTAGGGGCCCAAAAAAAGTTATTTGCTTCCTTCTTTATTTTAAAAAGGGAACAGTACATAATTCCCCCATTATAAGAACATATTTCAATTTTGATAAACTCCCTAAAACTTACCAAAAATCAGGTGGTAAATCTTAATATTAAATATACAATTATACTATAATATTATAATATGCATTTAAAAGATTTTTCTCTCTCCTCTCTCACAGCCAAACGTGATTTTCCCTCTATACAAACCCAACGACCTCTTCTTTACAAACTCAGCTCACCGTAAATCTCCCAAATCACAAAAATTCACTGTTTCTCCTCGATTTCGATCCACAATCAAAGAACAAGGTCACAATCCCGTAAACTTACTTCTGATTTTTATTGCTCTGGAGAAGTTGAAGCAGGTTGTGGCACAATCGGATCTTCCTGAAGCAAAAACTGAACTACTGTGGTCCAATTTCGAAGGTAAACCTTTAATCAACGTTAATCCTTGATTTCGAGCCATGATCAATGAATGAGGTCACAATCCTGTCGACGTACTTCTGATTTTCAGTTTCTGGAGAAGTTCAAGCTTGGCAGTAGAGGAATTGGATCGTGAAACAAAAATTTAAATTCTGTGATTTGATTTCGAAGGTAATAACTTAATAACGTGAGTTTTCTCATTAACCATTGATAGAATGTAATTTTTATTTTCAATTTACCGTTTTGAACCTGATGTTATGTGAATATCTGTGATAGCATTGACTATTTGTGACCAGTTGTGACCAGATGTGACTAGTTGTGACATGCTGTTTTCTGTGTATGACTAGGAATGGCAGTTTTGCATGTCTGTATGTTGTGTGGAGGTCACACATCACTTGTACTAGTGAATGATACATGCAAGTACGATGAATTGGTTGAACTTATTATTTCAGAACTAGGGCTTAATTGTGCAAAAGTAGCTGTGAAAATGACGTATTCTTTGGATTCTAGTTTACCTCCAGTCCGGATTCTGAGCGATAATAATGTCCTAACGTATTTGAGATTAAAATCTTTGGATGGG